AACAACAACAACAACAAAAATCCTATGGGCACCAAAGCTTGACTCCCTACGTACAAATGCCCTCCTGACCCCTCGCCCACTTCCTTCTCAGAAGGTCCCTCTGTGTCCGTCCCTTCTTCTCTTTCCCTAGGTGGCTGAAGGGTACTTAGGATCCTATAGCCCGAACTCTGGTTTACTGATCCAGAGAGAGCCAAACTTGCTCAAGGTCCCATCAAGAAGCTAGTCCAAACTTGAACTCGGGGCCTCTGACTCACAGAAGCCCTTGCTGGCTTTCGGGGCCCAGTCTTGTTTCCCTGAGCACTTTTGAGGGTGGGGCGATGCCTGGATTTTCCTGCCCCGCTCCCTCCCAGAGCTTAGCACGTGGCCAGATCCACAGGCAGCCTAATCACTAGCTGAGATAACCTTCCACCCAGAGGACCACCCCCTGCCACCTTCTGAGGGGGGTAGAGTAGATCAGGGACTCCGAGTTCTCACCCTGTGACCTTGGACAAGTCACCTCCACACACCTGCTCAACTGATAAAGATCTCGACCTGAGTTTCAACCTTTTTAAAAATTTTCTCAACCCTAGCTGCCGCCTCCAAGCATAAAATTCTCAATGCAGCCTTTTTTATAATGTTATTTGAAATTCAAAATAGGTTAACTAACCAGATAAGACAAAGAGGAGAACTGGACAAAGCTTGCTTTGTTTTGGGACTGCATTCTCTTCCGTCCCACCAGAGGATCCTCCTCCAACCCTAGCTCCTCCCCCGCCCCATGGAGGGGGGGGGACGACTTCTGAATCATCCCTTTCCCTGGCACCCCCAGCGCAGAGAAGTCCTCGTGGAATGTTTGCTGAAGTTATAAAGCATTCTGCCTGTGGTTGGCTGACCAATGACATGATGTCATCAGATGATTCTCCAACACCCCCTTGAGGCTGGAAGGCTGGCTCAGGCTACAAAGAGGGCTGACATGCCCAGGGAACAGACTCATCCAAGGTCCCGTGGCAGGTAAACACCGGCCAGGTTTCCCAGCTCCGCAGAAACGACTCTCTAAGCTTTAGCGTCTAAAGGAAGGAGCTGTGGAGCAGGGTGCACTTTATAAATGGCACATGGAGGGGTTGACTGTGTCTGTCTACCATGTGGACATATCCCCCCCCAACCCAATTCTCTAACTCCTGAGTTTCTTCCAGGCTCCTGCCCCATCCACCCCCCTGACCAACCTTGTGATGAAGACACCTCCCAAATGCCTCTGGGCGCCTCTAGATAGCGTCCTCTGCCCTATCTACACCCATCTACCGCAGCAGAGGGTCCTGGCCCAGCTTCAGCTACTGTCTCTCTTCCCAAGGAGATAGCCGGAAGAGCCTCCAGGCCAGAGAAGGGAGGAAGGGGCAGAAGATGTAGAAACTCAGTTCTCCTACCCGGCTGCAGGGCAGGCCTGGGTTCAAATCCAACACTTCCTAAGCAAGGGATAGCTTTCATTCTAGTGACCCTTGGTGGCAGCCACCTACCCCACAGTGCTAGCCACAGACTAGGGCTGGCCTTTAGGCTCGCCCCACCTGCGCTGGGTATTGAGATACAGGGACCTCTTTTTTTTTTTTTTTTTTTTTTTTCCCCAAAAGCCCCTGTGAATGCTCAATTCGCCCATTTTACAATGGGAAAAATGAGCCCTAGGTCACAGAACAAAAACATGGTGTGCCTGGAGTTTGCTTACATTCTACCAACACCGGCAGAAGTGACCGGAAGAAGGAACAGGAGGACCCCGGCCCTACAGTTCAGCGTCCACGACCCAGGCATGAGCGGCCACGGGTGAGGCGTGAGTATCGTCAGAGCTCTTGAGTCGACTGATCAACGGTACCGGCACGTGGCCAGAGCTCCTTCGATAGTAATGACCACAGGGACCAATTTGGGGGCTTTGGCAGGGCGCACTTACTCAGAGGCCAACCGGGTGGGTGGAGGTGGAAGCAAGGAAGCCGGGTAAGAGAAGCCACTCCGATGGTGGGGGTGGCCAAGGCGTAGGGGCAGCCAGCCGCTCCTTGGGGTACCCAGATACTCCCCCAGGCAGGTACACAGAGCCCCCGCCCCCCCCCAACCCGGGCAACCTGCGGGGGAGGGCACAGTTTTGACAGCAACACAGGACTGTGGGATTCCTGTCGCTTCAGGTTTCCCCCCCCCCCCAGCCTGTTGGCATTTGGGGTTAGAAGTTAAGTCCTCCAGGGGCATCCCCTCACAGTCCAGCACTTTGAGGTGGAAGACCGGGAAACTGAGGCGGGAAAGGGGGATAATAAGCTGCCTGAGTCACCATCCTGAATCCAGGTTCTCTGAACTTCAATGCGGGTAGGAATAGGAGGGGGCGCCTCGGCCCAATTAGGGAGCAACTCGCAAAGTAGGAGGAGAAACGCAGGATTTTTTTGTTTGTTTGTTTGCTTGTTTGTTTGTTTATAGTCCAGACTGACCTCGAGATTGTGACCCTCTTGCCTCAGTTTCCCAAGTATTGGGATTAACTTGTGTGCCACTACCGATTTACTAAGATGCCTTCTTGCCCCAGCACACCCCAAGTTAAAGGTTAAAGCTGCCCTTCACTCTGACGCTGTGCTCTCTCTTTCAGCCTCAGTTTCCCGGTCTAGAAAACGAGCTTCAAACTTGGCGAGTCTGGCATAGTTGGGACAAGGGCAGAATCAGCTGGAATGGGAAGTCTAGGGAAGACTTCAACCAGTAAACATTCCCTTCTGGGGACCTCGTAGGGGAGACTTTGGAGAGTCCCTCGCTCCGGTCCGGCGCGGGCAGCGGCTGCCGTGGCCAGAAGGGAACCGGACGGATGACCTCATCCGTTGCTCCAGTCTGGAATGCAGCTGGGGAGGGGGCAGGGTGCCCTGTCCCCGTCCGTCCCCCCACCCCTCCAGCTTCCCGCTCCCGCGCTGCCGTCGCCGAGGGGCCCTGGGGTCCCTTCCCTTCCGCTGCCCGCGCAGGAATGCGCGCAGACGGCCCTGAGCTCGCCCTCTGCCCGCCTCCCGGTTTGGTGCTCTGTCCCGCGATCCTTGGTCCCCTGCGCCCTCCCGCAACAGCAACGTGACAAAACAACCCTAGAAGTCTGCGCTGCGCGTCCCGGCCTTCTACGGGTTGGCCCCGCGCGCCCAGGACGGTGCGCACTCCCCCGGTCCGTGCCCGCGGTTACCTCGTGTCGTCGAGCCCGGGGGTCCAGGGGCGGGTGCGCTGGCGCGTCCCTGCGCAGCCCAAGAGTCGCTGGGCCGGTCTGCGCCGCCCTGGCCGCGGGCTT